ATAGAATAGAATAGAATAGAATAGAATAGAATAGAATAGAATAGAATACTTTATTGGCCAAGTGTGATTGGACACACAAGGAATTTGTCTTGGTGTAAATACTCTCCGTATACATAAAGAAAAGGTACATTTGTTAAGAATCAAGAATCATAATGTACAACGCTTAATGATAGTCATAGGGTACAATCAACAATCAAACCATACTAGGAAACAGTCAATATAAATCATAAGGATACAAGCAACAAAGTTACAGTCCTACAATCACAAGTGAGAGGGGATGGGTGATAAGGAGTGATGAGAAGATTAACAGTAATAGTAGTGTACACTTTGTAAATAGTTGAACAGTGTTGAGGGAATTATTTGTTTAGCAGAGTGATGGCTTTAGATAAATAGTTGCTATAAGAAAGCCTTCACTAAATTAGGATCATGGTGCGATGAAAGAGGCATCAACTCATTGACTAACCATGTTCACTGTCACGTTCCTTCTTGCACAAGTAATCATCAACTTATCACTATTTTTGAGCAGCCATTCAATGTTACATTGCCATTGAAAAAAATGACTTACAAGCATTCCTAACGCTTAAAATGGTCACAGCATCTCCTTGGTCACATGACAAAATTTTTTATATATTTATGATAATTACAGCACCCAAGGGATATATGATCACCATTTATGATTTTCTCAGCCAGTTCGTAACAAGCACAGGCAATGGGTGAAGCAAAATTCTCTTAATAACCACACCATTCTTTAACAACAGCAAGGACTTAACAACTGTGTTTAAAAAAAAAAGTCATAAAATCCATCATGATTCATTGCGTCCATCACTTTGCTTCACAATGGAAATTCTGGTCCCAAATGTGGTCATAAGTCAAGGACTGCCTGTACCGCAATGGGAACAAAACTCCTATGGATGGAACTTTTTCCCATGGATGCAATTCTTCCAACTGCAAATAAAAAATGCTAATAATGATGGAAATATTTAATTGGACTTAGGGTAGAGGCAAATAATTAGAGCCATCTTCTTCCTTTGCTAGAGTTTCAATCTCCCATGTTCCAAATTATTTAAAATTAAACATGCCAGGATCACCTACATGGAGCTACTTCCAAGCATTCGTGTCATCTGTACCATTCTGTCTAATTGAAAATCAAGGTATAGCTGAATTCCAAATCATCTGTTCACTATCAGGCTAGTTTAAACAGCCCTTGCAACCAAAGTGATACACAAATATGCTTTAAAAAAGCATGACTATTGCAACTACTAAAACCATATAATCCTGTTAAAAATGGAAAAGAATGGGGATATAAATAGGACAAAATTAACCAATCAACTAATGTAGTAGCCATTGCAATAGTGAGACTAGATCCAGGAATGGATGGGATGGTTACCATAATCCCAATGTAAAGGAT